CAGTACCTTTTGCAATATGGGCATATGCAAGGCTCTACTCTCAGGTCCAGATCTCAAGATCCCTTTTCCTCCATAGTCCCTTTCCCATATCTTTTGTACATCAAAACTATTTAATTCATTTTTATCAGCAATTTCAGCTTCATGGTAAAGAGGGATTAAAGCTGCAGATGAATGTATACATTACTGATCTCCATGCACCCCCAGCAGCTCAAAACTCAGCAGCTAACAGCAGCTGCTTAGAAACCCTTTCGAAGTCTCTTTTTCTTCCACAGATGGTGAAGTCCTTTCCCTCCATGCATTAAATACTCAACAAAACACACTCACCAAATTATCATATCAGCCCATAACCATGCATGATAATTATGTCTTAAATCAGGATTTCTTCTACCGAATTTCAACCAAAATAAACATGGTATAAAGAAGAAATATGTGCTTATAGTGAACAACCATTCATCAGCTTAAGTAACTCTAATGGATGTCACTTTAAACTAAGCCTGCACCATCTGTTCTACCCCTCAATTAGCAAGCAAAAAAAAATTATTCGATATACAGTTTAAGAAAGCCAGCTAATTTATGTAAGTTTTATTTCTCTTCAGCTCAGTGAAACATGCTCTTGTAATGCTTGATATTCAGAAACAGATCAGAATGAAAGGTTGCTTTCTCTAATGCTATTAGGAATTTTGCCAGGGGAAATAAAACATCCGTGCAATATTTCACCATATCAAAAAAATTCTCGTTAACATCTTACATTTTACTTTAAAGAGCATGATGTGTCTCTCAGCACCAAAATCAGCTGGGAACTAAACAAATCAAATCCGAAGTGCTGCATACATGAATACGAACAAAGCTCAGGACACAGCCTTGCCCTGACAGACTGAGTCTACCAGCACAGCAGGAGGCTGTGCATGTGTCCTCAGACCCAGGGGTCTGTTAACCATGTCGGTTCCTAACTCACCTCAGAGGAACCCAGTCCTGCAGGGGGCTGTGACAGAGCCTCACACAGACCCAGCTGCACCAGGACAAAGGGACATTCCATGAAAGGTGAGATACTCTCCTTGGAAAGCAAACCCTGTCCAGTGAGAGCAGTGCAGAGCCAAAAAATCACTACTTGCCAAAAAAATACAAAGCTTCATCCAATTCCTTACTGCAAATCTCCATCAAGTTTCACTTCAAACTGGCCTCCCCTACCACTCTGCAGCATGTGAAAACACTGAATAAAATGTGTCTTCAGTATGTTGGACCCTGACCTGCTTGAAGGCTCTATCATCACCAGTATTCAAGTTCCCTCTTGGATGTTTGTCAAAAAAAGAAAAAAAGAAAACCTGCAATAACAAGGGCTATTTCCACTGGAAATCTCAACTCCACCAGCACAGGCAACATAGCCCAGGGAAAATAATGGTGTAAGAGGCCTCATCTCCCAATACTGTCGAGGAGAAGCAGGCAAGAGGTGGTCACTGCCAAACACTCGGCTCACCTCTTCGAATAGCAGTCTGGTTAAAAACTACTTTAAGATCCTGGACGTATTACATTACACCACACCTTAATTTGCATCACGGTCTGGGTACTAAGAAAGGCTCATCAGCCACAAATGAGCCAGGAGATCCTGCACACTTAACATGAGCATCACTAAATACTGCAGAAGCAGCTCAGAGCGAGATGGCTCACCAAAGGATTACTGATGTTTTCAGCTCTCTCCCCTTGCCATAGGATTGTGAACCTGGGAGGACACACTGAAACCTCTGACACTGCTGTGCTGTTTTGCCTCCTATTTTAAGATGGACAGCTCTGCACAGGCCTTCGTTATTGTTCAGAGATTCAAAGCTCAGCAAAATAACTCTTTTATGCTTAGCAGGGGAAGAAGAGGAGTCAAGGAGAACCACCATCCTGAAACAGCACAGACCAAGCAAACAAAGCACAAAATGAAGAAGCAGACCAGAGGCAGAATTCCTCTCTGGTCTAAAGCATCCTGCAATACCTTCCCCAGCCCAGCCTCACTGGTGTAATCCACAACTCCTTGTGCCCACACAAACACAGGCTGGCTGTTCTAAGCAACTGTGCTCCAAAGAGGAGTAAGAGCTCTCAAAAAGAATTCATCTTTTCACTCTGCACCATTCTTATGTCTTCTACACACCTGTAAGTACTGCTGAGAAAACTGAAGCCTGCAATGTCTGTTGGGTGCAATTCAAGCACACTCCTAGCAAGCACAAACATGCAAATAGCTTTCCATTGGACTTCAGTGCCTTGTATCATACAATCACTTTTATGTTTCCTTGACTTGAAAAGCATCCTGAACTATCCAAGTACCTTCTGCACCTAAGGCAGCTGCCTGTTACAAAGGAACCAGCAATTAGGTTACAAGACATTTGTTAGAAAAGTTTCAGAGTACTGACTGCTATCAGAAGCATCTTAGGCCTCACTATGTTTAACACATGCTGTTTTTAACAGACTTGAGACAGCACCAACCAAATAAAAGCATCTCTGCCCTCCATTTTTTTCTCCCCTGAATCTCTTGAAAAAGAAGACTCCATTGTCTGCAGTCATGGTGCTGGGGTCAAGGACAAAGAGTCATGAAAAAACAGAAACAATGTACAGAAAAACAGCAAAGCCTGAAAAGGTTAATGATGGCCATGACATACACATCAGATCTGTATGCCAATGAGGGAGATAGCTTGAGCCCTTCCTGTAAAAGTGCAATTTCATCACCAGTTCAAGCTCCTTTTAACCCCAACTAAACTGGTTTGCCTTAGAGATGCCTCTGCTCTGGTTCACTGATGTCTCCTCGGTGATAACATATAAGCACAAGTGTTTAGTTAGAGGAGTCCTAGACAGGCAGGAGCCATGAATCAACTGGATGCTGTCCCAGTATAATGGGTCTTGTTATCCACATTCAGTCTTATTCTGAGAACACACACTTTATCACTGAACTGTTAGGAAACTTCAAATCACAGAGATGATCTCAATCTTTATTTTAAGCTGATACTTTTTCAAATTAAGAGACTGAGGTGAGAAGAGAAACAGACCACAAATATTTCAGCTCCTTCTACTGTGACCAGACCATTGCAGTTTAGCTCTCCAGATGGCTGTCCTAGGGCAGTGATGCCTGGCCTTTCACTCCTAAAGCTGACACACTAATCCATGAACTGGATCAGATGACACCAGCTCCCCTGTGCTCTGTCACACCAGACAAAACTGAACTTCCAAACCCCTACCCCACAAGCAGTCAGGAAAAAAGGCAACAATAATGCAGATGCAGGCATCAAAACAAAAGGAGGAGACTGGCATAAGAGGATGCACTAAGTCTTGGCTGGATCCTGAAGCAGACTTCACCACATCACTGACCTTCACATAGCCAGCTTGCCCCACTCAAAGGCTTCACATCTCCTATTATATTCATTCACTGAGAAAACACCCTCCAGACATCTGAGACATGTCTCTGTTATGCTTACTAGAACTTATTAATCACAGCAAATGCTATCTATAGAACACGCACTAATGAACAGCCAGCTCAGCAGCATGAGTTCTGGAACAGAATCACTGCAGTACAGAAGTGCCACCAGTTTGTTACTGGAAAATGAATACCACAGACATCATTCTAAGTGTGTAATTCAACAGACAAAAGATTGGGAAGATCAGCAAGTTATCTGAACATAAATCCTGCAAACTAAGTGTGATACTGGGATTGCAAAGCACTGCACAGCTCTGTGATCCACATCACTTCACAAAATCCATGCAAATAGCACATTTTGTAATAATTTCAATTTTACTGTGCTTGGGTAACTCTTCCACTAAGAATTATGGAAGTTTGTAAGAGAAAGCCAGTTAGCAAGAAAATGGACAATAAGAATATATACTACTCTCAGAACTGCTTATTCACAACAGTAAGCTAAAAATTTCTTCATGTGTTCCACCAGAACGGATTCTCTATTGAGACCATATCAGCTTTGCTGGTTTGGTGATAGTGTTTTTAGTGTTTGGGTTTGTTTTTTTTTTCTATGTGCCAAACAGTTTCTACAACAGCTGCTCACTGACAAAAATTAAAAGAAAGAAATGCGGTTGTGCAGAGCACTCTGCAGTGTCACAACTACTTCCCAATCAAAATTTCCATTAAAAATTATTTTAATTGAGTATGCTGAGCTCCAGAGCACTTACAACCTATACAGTCAGTCCTTCACTTCTGCAGTTGTGAACTCCAGTACAATCCCCAGTTAAACATTGTTAGACCCAGCTCTGGGAACTTTCACTCTGAGAGTCCCCAGCATTTATCAAAAAGGAACATTATTACATCCCATATAATAGCTTCAGTGCTCTATTAGACTTTTCAGAGAGCCTCATGAACAGACCATGACAAGAGTTTTCCACAATTGAGAATCCCTTCCCACTCCCACAGTACCTGGCTGTGGTAGGACTTCCTCACTAAACCTGAAGGGAAATGAAGCAACATGACAGAGATAAGGCAGTGGAGCTCCATGTCCTACCATCTCAACATTATCAAATTCAACAGAAGACACATACACACACTCTTTCTTGAGCTAAGTACAATTGATCTACTATGTTGCCCACAGAAAACAGCAAAAGAAGTCTTGCAAGATTTAATGACAGTGAAAACAAATGCAGTTTATATATGCTTTTTTTTCATTTTGGTAAACCTTTTAGTATGGAAGGAAATCATGAGCATTGCTAAACTACTGGGATGATCAAAGCATGCCACCAGCTAACAAAGTATACAAAGAAGCCAGGATATCACAAACTATGAACACCAAATGTAAATCCACTTATGCTTAAAACACCATTCACTGAATTCTTACTGCCTTGAGTCCTCAATATCATAGCAGCTATTAACTACCAAGATATGGAACAACAATCACAGATTCAGTGTAATTACCAGCTTACAGAACAGTATGATATGACAGAATGTCTACTATACAGCTTTCATTTAGATCAAGTAGCACTTGACATTGAAACTTCTGACAGTAATCACATTCCACATGACAAATTCTTACCTTATAATTGCTGGAATTTACCCAGGAAGTGGCCAGTCCATCAACCATTTTATCCAGCATAGTCTGATCATGTTCAAGATCAGCTGACTTCTGCTTATCTGAGAAATAATCTATCAATTCCTGGCCAACCTGAAGTCTTTTTCCAACATCCTTCTGCAGCACCTGTGCTAAGCAGTACTCCATACTGGGCTCCATAGTGTCTCAGAAATACAGCAACAGCCAGAAAGCCAGAGGGCAGCAGGGCCAAAAACTCCCTCTACAAGTGTACGCAGGAGGTCGCCTCTTTCTTCGATGAAGGTTACTGAGGGCCTGGGTTTCAAAGATGCAATTCTGAGAATGGCAACAATGCACCATGTGTGTGTGGACAGCAGCTGGCAGGATATTAAAAGTCCAATTTAAATAACTAGTAATAGATGAAGCAACAAGCAGCGCTGTACAGTTGAGTCTGCAATAAATCCCAATTCAGCAGTCCATTCTGAAAGAAAAAGAACAGTATTATAGGTTAAATTAAGACTGGAGGAAAAAAAAAGATTGAAAGCATGTCACAAAATAGGTTATTCATATACAGCTGCAAAGCTGTGTAAGTCAGATACGAGCAGCATTGGTCTATTTTAAGGAATCAAACAAGGTAGGTCAGGACAAAAACCTTCTTTACAATAGCAGTTACACATCAGTTCCCTGGAAGTTTTAGTGACAGTAAATTTGTGGCTTAAAGCAACAGCTGATTAATAATCAGTGTTATTGCAACTACCACCACCCACCCGAAAAGGTGGGGACAAAACCCTTAAGCAGGTCACCAGGAAAACCTATCTACTTCAAGTGAAAGCAGGAAAAGGTCTGGATCCTGTTTTGACTGCTGGCCTTCAGCAATCAATGTCATCAGCTGGTCAGCAAGATAATGCACTAACACAGGGCTCCGGGAATGCAAAATGATCAGTTTTCAAAAACTAGGTGCTCAAGCTGTTTCCAGGCTGAATTATGTTACATCCCAACTACACATGTCCAGGAAAGAGCACTCACTGGCACACTCTAAATGCAGTTCTGACAACAAAGGCCACACACAAGGAAGGTCAGGCCAGACTTCGCTGCCACTCAGAGGCGCAGCATCACCTTAGAAGCTTTTGGCTTATGCAAAAAAAAAATCATTACTGTATGTTTAGGTTCTGGTTGTGTTCTTGAACCCTAGGAACTCTCTTGTCCCCTTCACTAGGGACCTTTTTTTGTCCCTGTATCTGCAGCCAAATGAATCCCTCCAGGCATGCAAGGAACAGACAAAGGGCAGGTCCTCCACCTTCCCACACACCAGGGCTCCTGGCATCACCATAGTGCTTCCTGAAGCACTCCCTCATCACAGGTTAGCTCTTTTAGGAAGTGGGTGATAAAAACCCAGGGTGTCTTTTTGTTTCCTGGCTAATAATACCCAAAGCTAGAAATATGCCCTACTTTTTCCACCACCATGAGGAAAGCAGGTCAAGCTCAGAGTAAGGGAAGAGGTTGTGCAGCAGACACCTGGTTCAATAAACAACTGGAAGGAAGCTGGAGGCTCAAAGTTCGCTAATTGGAAGCACTGGGGGCAGCAAATCTAAATACCTTCTGTTTGAGGAAATAAGACCTTCACAAAGGGCTTAAGAGAGCAAAGTGGACCTGATAGCAGATGAGATGCACACAGTAACTCCAGCCTGGAAACAAAAGCACCCTTTGCACAGCAGACTATTCAATTCATTACCTCACACCCATCTTCCTTGGCCACATCTTACCACCACCAAGCACAGCACCTAGATTCAGCTCTGAGGGCTTAAGCTTCCCTAACCCCACAAGCACTGCCACACATGTCCCAACTTCCCACGCTGGTTGTGCAGGAGTCACCGAGGTCTCCTGCAAGTCCCTCCATTCCAGGCAGCCACTTCAAATCCCTGCTGGTTGATGGGCATCAAAACTGGTTCTGTAAACCAATGGACACACCTCAACCAACTGCCAGGCAAATACGACTTTCAGCCAGAAGGGATTGCTCATGTTTGTACACTAAGCTCCCTCCTCGTCCCCAGAGCAGCACGGAAGCCTTGGCTGCTACTGCACACACAGCACCTCAAGCTCTGAGTTAGTGCTATGACAGATTACTGCTTGTGACCCCTACCCCAATCTAAACCATCTCAAGGACACATAAAACTCCCACCATTTCGTTTCAAGTACCTCAGGTGGGATTTGATTTTAAATTCTGAAATTGTCAACACCTCCTCCAATCAGTACTCTTAACACCTTTTTTCTTTCTAAAAGAAAGTTCCAAACTAGAAGGAAGCATTGCCTTTTTTATTGCAGTTTCTACTGATGCTACAGTTTCTCACTTGGTCAATTTAGCACCAAACCTGAAAGAAGTACTCTTCAGATGAACTTTCCCATCCTCAACCAAAATAGTTCATGACATGGCACTCACTCCCATGGCACAAAACCAGAGCCCTTCCACAACTGTACAAACACAGCAGATGCTTTCATCCAGGTCTCCCTGTCTGCAGCCTTGAATACTGGCCCCTGCCCTGCCCTCTAGCACAGGCTGGTCTCACTCTTTGCTGCAGACAGTTCACTTAAGGGAGACAGTCTTACACACAGCAGTGTCTAAATATCCAGCAGAAGGACTTTCACACAGCAGGGAAGCATTTCACTGGACACCTTGCTAGCATGGAGCTACTGGAGAAGAGACAGGGAACTGGTATTAAACTGCTACCACATTCTAGCTGAAATCCTTCAAGTTAGCTGAGCAGTTTGTTTCTGGCCTCCAGAAGCTGCACACATGTTCAAAAGAGGATTCATGCTAAACTGGATAGATAGTGAAGAAAGTTTAACTGCTTTTAAAATGGAAATGCAATACTTGCTTAAACTTGAAAATTCAGATTACAAAAGGGTGTGAATGAGTGCTAGTTACCACAGAATAGCCATTTTTTATAAACATCACACAGAGGCAAGTCTCAACTCGTACAGAAACCATTAGCTGGCCATAACGCCATGAGAAACGAGCATTCCAAGTTTCACGTCTGTCTTCTATGTGGTTTTCAATAAAGAGTTTATAAGTCTCTGCTTATAAGCACAGAAACAATCTTTAAAGCAAACTAATGTAAATAAATTTCTCTCCACTTTCCTTGCTTTTTTTAAGCACAATAAAGGAAGGCATAGGATAAAAATCATGCACTATAAAAGAACACATTTGTTCATAACCTTGAGGACTGTAGTCTAAAGAAGATCCACTATATATTATGGCACCACTATCAGATGCACACAGGGAAGAAGAGCCAGAGACATCTTTGAATCCTGGGGAAAACAGTAATAGGAAGCCAAGAGGAAAAACTCAATGTGGCTTGCATCTACCAGCTAACAGGTGTTTAAGTAGCACTTTTCTTAAAAAAAAAAAAAAAAGTTATCCTACACATGTTAGGAAGTCTGTTGATTCCCCTCTTCCCAAAAGGAGGAAGTGGAAAAAACACCACCTGGGAAAAACAAAACTCAAGTTGACAAAAAACTAACTTGCCAGACAATGAAGCATATGGCTGCTGCAGCCCATCAAGTCTGCAATCATCTGGGCAGATGCTCCCTACATAAGTTTTGAAAAACACAAAGCCACAGACTCAGCCCCAGTATCTCCTTCTGTCCTGGACTTTTTGGGTAGCCAGTGTTACAAGATATAAACAACTTTGGACAGGGATTTGAGTACAACCTCTTCCCATAGGAGAACAGTCATGCAGAACTCAAACTCAGTGGCACAGGTCCTGTGTTTGGAGCTCCTCCAAGTTTTGAGAAGGGTTGCCAGTATAAGCTCCACAGCAAGAGTTTTCTCCAATCATCCTCCAAGCCTTGTAGTCTGCCCTCAAAGAGACAGACTAGGCTCAACACGTAGGCAAAATAATCCAAGAGAAAAAGCTACCCTAATTCTGTCATTGAAAAAAAAATTCTTTGTTTCACTAATAAGCCATCAAAACTGTGTGCTTCGTAACACCCAAATTTTACATCAACAGCTATCCAGCAGAAAGCCACTATACAAAGGTTTATTTTTAATGCCACCTTGGAACTCAAAATGATTAATGTAAAGGAGAAAACTGACAAAGACCTAACAGCCCAAAGTTACCTAGCTTAGATACCACCATCATAACAGCACAAAAGCTGATACAATTCACAGTAAAGCAACTGGCTAAACACACAACACATAGAATAAATTACTCCAAACAATAATAAGGAAATATTTGTTACCCAAGAGGCTCTGGCAATATTAAACTGGGTACCTAAGTCAATTAATTTTTTTCAGTGCTTAGGAGAACCACTGACCTCAGACTAAGTGAAAGTGCATGACTTGCAATTTTCAAGTAAGAGAAGTTATCTTAGGATAACTTCACAGGAAATTTTGAATCTTCTTCCTCTTGCAAGGAAGGGAACCTGAAGCACATAAAAATGCACTATTACTTTCTTAGTGTCCTGCCTTTCCTTGGGAGCTCTTCCAATACAACTATGACTTTAAAAATTATGTTCCACTCTCTTCTGCTCTAGACATCAGGTTACCATTTGTCACGTTGCACTTTCGTCATCTTCATTTGCCAAAAAGTCACTGCAGTCCATACCTCTCTAGACAACTGCTCCAGACACAAGCATGCAGAGACAAGCATCTTGCTGCCACTCACAATCACTGGAGGCAACAGCCAGCACCACTCAATAACCAGCTCTTTCCAGTCATCTTCCTGAAGGTATCTCTGGACTTCCAGCCAGTGAGATTAATTTGTAACCCACTTCTAAACATGACCACACTCCTTTGGTGGGTTTTTTTTCTGTGTGTGCATGGTTAGCTGTAGCCCAACAGCTGTAGAAATAACACAGCAACACAATTTTACCAATAAGTCTCCTTCATAAGTCTCAGGATCTAATTGCACCATCACTTCTGTTTAAAATTAGTTCCATGTATATTCGACAGACCTCTGCCAACAACAGAACTCTGATCCTTCAGAAGATCTCCACCCTGGCCAAATGGAGCAATTTTTTTCAAACATGAAAGCAACCAGGTGTCCATCTTGCAGTAGCTCACCACTTCTGCAAGGTGGGCAGTGTAAACACATAACCAACTTGGTTTGCCAGCCAAGCCCCCTTGGGCAAGAAATTCAGAGCTATTAGAACAGCACCTGGAAACCATGTACTGCAAAGACTAAGTAGAGACCTCATGAGAAAGGCAGTGTCAAAGTACAGCTCTGCAGGGTGGAAGTTCTCAGCCCTCTGTCCACTTCTCTATTTTTGCTTCCACCAGTACAGCTATACCCTTCCCAGAGGGGACTGGTGTCAGACCTCTAAGAAGTGTTACAATCACCAAGCACTCAAACAAACCTACTCTTCCCTCGAGTGTGCAAGCAGCCGTGAATAAAGCAGCTCTAAGTGTTCCTACTCATTCAAACTCTGAGAGAAGGAGGTGGCATCAAGTGTCCTACTTGAAGAAGAAAGCAGCATTCTTCT